TGACTTTGTTGATCTCTTTGAGTTGAAGTTGACTGTCAGAGGCATATATTTCCATCGTGTTGCTCACAGTTTCACTCAATAGAGAGATAATCTCCAGAGTCTTCTGCACTGATTTGCTTATTTCTTTGAGATCTGCGCTGTGTTTTCCTTCAGATTTCTCTATCAGCTGGGTGTGCCTGACTTCCATTTGCTCTATCTCTTGCCTAAAGGAGGCATGTTGAGATGCTAGGGCTGATTCAATTAGCCCTTGGACCTTCTTTGTCCAGATTTCCGGTATCTCATCCGGAAGAGTAGGGGTGGAAGAGCTATGGAAATGAAAATTGGTTACCTGATGAGATGGTGGTGTTCTTTGGAAGAGTTGCAGAGGGAGAGATTCAGCATCTTCTTGTACATCTTCTTCATGAGTAACCTTCAGTGTTCTTTCAGACTCTCCTTCTGCTTCATCAAGCGCAAAATTTGATATATCCCTAGAGAGGGAGTCTCTTTCTTCAGCTGTATTCTCTTCTTCAAAAATGGCTACTGGAGTTTGAGAGACCTCGAGTTCTGCCATTTGAGTTTCCTTTTCAGCTTCTCCAGAATTCCTTTGTGCTTCAACAACTTGCTCCATTGTTTCTGGAAGAGCTGACTGTTCCGGAATTTCTGCTGACTTCTCCGAGATCTCAATTTCAGTAGGATTGGAGATCTCACAAGGAGTGGTGAGAATCTCCAAAACTTGAGATCGGATTAGTGGCTGAAATTCTTCTTCTTCTGCTGTTTCCTGGTTCTGTTCTTGTGGGGGTGAGGTTGCCTTCTCTTCTACAACTTCAGTTAGAACCATTTCAGAAACATGTGAGGTTTCCGGAAGTGTTTGGAAATCTTCAGCTGCTGCTTCCAAAACACCTTGTGCTTCAGAAGTGAAAACCACTTGATCTTCTGTGTCTTTTGAGAAGACTTACTTGAAGACTGCAGGATCTTCATCATCTGCTTCAAAGTCAGAAACTGGTGTATTGGCCAGGTAGTCCAGATGCAAGTCTTCAGGATTCCTTTGCCATACCTAGTAGTCATCCAAAATTTGTTCACAGTTGTGGTTGACTGGTATTCTTAAGCACTTTTTGATGATCTTCTCATTCTTCAGTTGTTGGTCCCAATTCAATAGTTGCTCTGCTGAATTTCCAACTTTCCAGGCTTTCCAACCATAGTAGAGCTGCCAGAATTGGTTATCTGCATCATCTCTTTGAGGTTGAGGTGATGAGGTTGGAAGGCTTTGGACTTGAGGAATTTCTTCTTCAAGTTGTTTAGGGCTCCGGTTTTGAGCAGAGGTTTCCTCAGCAGGTTCCTTCTCCTTCAACTCATCCGGATTGACATTTCCAGATGTTGATGGAGAGTTGATCTTCATCTTCTTCTTCCTTTGAAGTTCTCCTTGATCAGAGGATTCTTCTTCTTCTTCAAGATTTATTGGAGCAAGATTCTGTGGTGCTTCAGCACTGGGAGAAGGAGACACCACATGCTTTCTCTTGGTAGTCTTTGTGAAATTGATGAGTGGAACATTGTCTGATGAGCTTTCTTCTGCAGTGGCACTAGCACTAGCACTGTTTTCTCCTTTGGAGGATAAGTAGTATAGCCAGTATCTGGCTTCATACTTTTTCCCTTTAACTGCAACGCCCATAGATTCCAAAATATGTCCGATATACAGACCTTGACAGAGATACTTCTGATTGTGCTTTCCTAGATGTTTTGAAATGGATTTGAAAAAGTGTGCAGCCCAGTTTACCTTA